AAGTGGCCGTCAGTCTCAGCTGCTGTGTCTTAGGACCCTTGGCGCCAAGGCTACTCTACCCAAGGGATCCTCCCAGCCAGTGACTGAATGTAGCAGGAATTGTAAGGCAGGCCTGGGCACTCCTGGAAGACAGGCGATGCCGCTGATGGCAACTTTGGCTCACCAACTCAATAATGCCCTGTAGTAAGGTCAGCCTTTGCTTTCTTCTTTCTCTTACACTGTAGTCCAGTGCTACTCCCAGGCTCCTCTGATTTGCTCTTCTCATCATCGAGCAGCCGCTTTCCTTAATAAATGTCGAACACGTGGGATCCTATCTTGGCTTCTTCCTCTTAGAAGAGCCAGAAGAGTATAGGCACTATTATAAATAGAGTTCCACACAGTCTAGCCTCAAGTGTATGTACTGAAGTTGTTTTCTAATAGGAGCAAGGGTAAAATTATTAAATAGCATATTCATGGAAGACATTTCCTTCTCTGCCACAATTGTGGCAACTTTTATTCATATTATCTCAGTCTGTTTCCAAGGACAAGAACCAATCTGCTTAATTGAAAACAATGAACCTGGACCTCTTTGCTTCTTTTGAAAGATGACCTGTCCTCTTTCAAAGCTTTCATATTTTCCTGTGGTAGACTTGTGAAATTTATTAGGACCTACATTTTTTTTTTTTGTTTGCTTGAATTAGAGGTACGTGGAACACCTGTGGTGGGAGTGACCAGCGCTCTAGTGACAGATGAGAACACATAACCGCTGCAGAGATACAGATTACGGCCTAGATTTCTCCCTCTAGTAAGAGGTAAGGCTGGTTGTACATCTGTGAACTCCACCACCTGTAGGCCATATAGAAACTTCAGTATTTTACTGAAGACTTGAACCGTCTGGGATCCAGCAAAATTGTTAGTCTGAGACTAACAATGTTTCTCAGACTCTGAAATATCATATCCATTAGGCACAGTAGACAAATTGTCTTTGATCAACAAGGCCAATACGATGCCCATATCTTCATATACATTTTCTTGTACAACCTTATTCAGTCTGGAGACACTGAGATACCAGAGCGGAAGAGGGTGGGAATCGGGACTCACTGATGATCAATGTCCCCACAAGAAGGATGGGGAAAGAAGCTTAGGATAGACTGCTTACCTAACCATGTTCAAGCTTCTTAGTTCTGCCCCAGAACCACAAAATACAAATCCTATGGGGGAAAAAAAATCCCTTGAAGAGAATGAGTAAGCTAATATCCATGTGCATGAAAAACAGCATCTTTGTTGATTTTTCTGAGAACAATTAATTTCTCTCCAAAGATTTCTTATGATACTAAAATCATTCCTTCCCAAGGTCTCCCATTATATTGAGATTTCTGATCATGGGGTTCTTTAATTTCAACTGAAGCCAAATAGACATCAGTCTGATCAGTAGATTGAAGATGGGTGTGGAATGAGAAGCCTAGAATCATGGGGTCTGAGTTACCCAGCTCTCCAAGCTTTTGTCCAGATGAGCTCCAATAAGTAAGACTAAAACTTTCATTGCTGAGCAAACGGAATATTTCTAATCAGTCTTCTTCATATGAACTTGGTTGAAATTTCTGTTTCCCTGAATGCATCAGATCATTGATAAGGGCTCAGAGATTAGCAATAGAGTTGTGTTTCCATTCATTACCTTTGGCAGAAGACATTTCAGTCACTAAACTGAACCAATTTGACTCCCTATCAGACAGTAATTTCAGAATGGAGAGGCCAAAATTTTTACCGAAAAATACGATTTCATTTTGAAGTTTCACAGCTGAATTGCAAAAGTTGCAAGTTTCTATTAGGTCAGTGTGTTGGTTAGTTATGTATTGTTGCAATAAGATACCTGGAGGTGATAAACATGAATAAAGGAAGGGTCTATTTGGGCTTGAAATTTCAGACATGTCGGTCTATGGTCTGTTTCCTGTTGTTTTGGGATGAGGTAGAATATCATGGCAGGGAATGTGTAGTGTAGAATACTTGTGATCCTCATGGCATCTTGGAAACAGAGAGAGGTCACATCCCTAATGAACACTTTTCTATTAGGTCCCTTCTCTTAGTACCTAATTAGCTTGAGTTCAAGCCTTTAATGTAGGAGTGGTGTGTGTGTGTGTGTGTGTGTGTGTGTGTGATTAGTTAAGAGGAATGCAGATTGGAACCACTGTCTGAGGAGCAAAGGCCCCTGCTCTGTGATAGCCTTGGATGCTCAGGAGCCTTTGTTGCACACACAGACAGACCATGCTCTCCCGTGTAGATAAACTAACACATTATCAGGCTAGATCGTGCTGAGGATACCATAAAATGAAACAATAACAAGTTGTCTGAGCAACCCACAAAATAAGCCTTTGGTCTTATGTAACATGAGTAGCTGCAACTTTTTCAAAACCAGGAAGAGTTTTATATCCACGTTAGTGGGATTCTGGCTGAAGAAATGCCAGTGCCCCCTTGACATCAGCATGTCCATAGGAAAGCCTTATTTCTTTCCACCCTCTTCTAAAGTATCCAAACTAGATCTCAGGACACAGAGCATCTTAAAATGTGGTAGCATGAAGATAGTTTCCTCCAAGTCATTGGCCAAAACCATACCAAAGGGACCGAGAAATGGGCAGGGATCTTCTCATACCAACTGGCCCCACGTAAGAGTAAAATTTGTTAAAGTTAGTGAATGATTAGGAAAGAACATCGTAATGTCCACTTCATGAAGTGTTTCATACACCATGGCCTTGGGAGAAAATAGCAATCTAATACCAATGTGCCTTTGAACACTCCATGCGGAAAATACTGCAAGCCTGCTAGACAGGAAGCTTAATCACAAGGGCATGTGAGAAACAGCAGCAGGCTTTGTGTTTTGTAGAACACCCATATCAATGAAAGGAGTTGATGCTGACGTATACTTGAATCATGCCAGACAGAGTGGCTGGAATGGCAAGGTCATAAGGGACTTGGGATCACTCAGGCTGGCGCACTGGATGAACCCCAATACTTGCTGTCCTTGTGAGCTCATCAGTAGGGTTTGGTTCAACCACGCCTTAGTCAATATGAAGCCTCTGCAGGCTGTTTTATTTCAGTTTATTACAAACCTTTCCAAGTAATACATGCACAAGGTAAAAAACAAATTAAATAGTACAGAGGAACTTGAAATGATTTCCTAGGCTTAACTTTCTACCTTTAAATAACACGTTTGAACGATAATCTCTTGACTTATTAACTTTAGACAATCTTTAATAATTCACCATTACAAAAGATAAGGATTTAACATACATCATCCCCTCCTTTCCCCTGACCACCCCTCTCCAAATGTTTGATAGGTTCGTCACTTTTAAGTCTTTTGAGGGTCTAATATATAGCATCGACCGGGCCCCGGTGTAGTTGTGCTCCCTTAACTGAAGACAGTGTCTCTTCAACTTCACTTTGAATATTCAAGTAGCCCTGCTCTTCCTTCTCCCAACTGGTCCAGGTTCCACTCTCCTGTGCCTCAACTGGGTGAAACATTTAGCCTGTTCAGGCTTGGTTCGCAGGTGGATCAGAACACCGAAGATCTGTAAGTGGCATCTACATCATTTTGGCTATTAGAATACCCAGGTGGAAAATACACATCTCTCTAGACTCCCAATGTCACGCCGCCTGTCCCACTGGAAAGGATACGTATTTACCTACTGCTAACGGCCAATCAAGCCTCTTCTCTTCTCACAGTTAATTCTAAATCCCACCCCATCCCATTTCCCTTCACAGTGGAGCCTAAATTTCTTCACATATTATCACTTATTTTTGTGATAAAGGACTGTATGTCTTCCACATCTCTAAATGTCTCATTCACTCCATATTTCTCTGGTACATTCTCCTCAGAGCCCAAGGTTGTGTTCTCTTCTGAAGTGGGTTTATTAGGTAACTCCCACTCTAGACCGAGGCATCCTGGGTGAGGTCCACTGGTGTCCACAACCTCCTTCCTCCTTTTCTGTGGGACTTTCATCATCCCCCCCATTTTTTTAATGGAAAACTTCCTTAATGAGAGTACAAAGGAGGGAAAAAGGGTTTCTAAAAACTCACCCGCCAAAAGGTATTTTTATTTTTACCTTACTCCCGACAATCTGCCCTACATGGAATCTCAGAAACAAAAGTTTTCAAAAGTGAACATACGTAAACCCGTTGTTCCTTTGACTTCTAGCTTTCAGGGCTGCTGCTGAAGCTGCTAGACTGTTCTCGTCCTGGTTTGGCTGAGCTGTGTTTCTTTCCCTGGGCACTCTGAATATGTTCTTGCTAACCCTACAATTCCAAATTTTCTTAGAACTGTGCCTAGATGTCGTTGGTACTGGGTCTCCTCAGTCTGGTGCTCCTGAAGTCTTTCTTATTCTGTTTGTCCTTGCTATCTATGTCCTATCTCCTGGGAACTCACAGTGGTTAAACAGTGACTGCCGAGTTCTCTTTCCTTCCTTCTTATTTGTTATTTCTTTTTCTTGTGTATATACGGAGATTCATTCTATTTCATTTTTCAGACTATCTACTATATTTTTGGCAGTCTTGCTTTGCTTTTAAAATGTTCAGAATTTTCTTAGTATATTATCTTACAAATGCACTTTAAATCTCTCTGGAGATATGGTCAGAATTTTAAGGATCCCCCCCCCCCCGTATGAATTTTGTTTCCTTTAGTTTATAATATTTTTTCAATCTTTTAACATCTAAGTTTTTTTTTTTTTTTTTTTTTTTTTCTTACGAGTCTCCTCTTGGTTACTTCCATGCTTGGAATTCCTATTAGAAGATTTACATTAAAAACCAGTGTTAAGTATTGTCTTTGTAAAGAATTCCCGTTTCTCCAGCAAATCTCTGCTATGACTAGAAGCCAAGGGTACATGAATGAGGGTCTCAGCTCTCAGAAGAAACTTGACAGGGTAGGGGGCCACCTATTTCCATGAAAAGAACATTCTGTGGAGCACTAATTGTTACCTCCCCTCGGGGGGTTCACTTGACTCCTTTATTCAAACAGCAATAACAATAACGGCTTCACTGATACCAGTGGTAGATTTTCTGTGTCCTATGTACAAGGGCTGGGGCGGAGTAGAATGGGGGTCAATTTACAACTGATACAATTATTTAGTCGCTAGACTTTTCTAGTGCTCAAGTCTCTTTGGGGTTACGATGGTCAGATCGGTCAGATTCTTTCTGAAATGTGCCGCCATCTTGTTTCCGATTCGCCATCAAGCTTCATTTACTTTATCCCTTCCAGAAATGTGTTGAGATCTTCTCCAACCAAATTCTTTTAATTTCCTCAGCTCTCTTTTGCATTGCTTGACTTCAGTTTCAGTGGGGCCTGGGAAAGGAGGGAAGGCAAACTTACGTTTAGTCCGTCATCTTAAATGGGGTGGGGGGTGGTCCACTGGAAGTGTTCGGCAGGGGAATAGCACAGATAACTTCAGTGAAAAGACCCCAGGCTTTACTGCTGGGAGCGGGTTGAAGAGGTGAAAATGGAAACAGATTAAGGGGGAAGGGGGTGAGAAAGGAAAAAAAAGCTTATTCTAAAAAAGAGTGAGGATTCAATTTTCTCTCTGTGAACAAGAAGCATCTGGGACTTTGGGAAGTCAGGCACTTCACTAAAATAGCTCATGATTCAAAATCCAATAAAACAAAAAGTGCTTTCAAGTACCCAAACATCTGGATAACCAGAACCTAAGAGTTGCCTGTTGCTAATGGAATGGCTCACTCACATCTCTACAGGGAAAGACTTTAAGTGTTTGATGCAAATTCTTTCTCTCCATGAACGTTCCGGAGAATCAGAGACACCTTTTATCCTGCTAAGGTTAGATAAGGGCTAAGTGTGAAGCACCCAGGCTCTGGCGAGCAGGATCATACAGGTTCTGGGTTAGTTACTGGTGTGTGTGTGTGTGTGTGTGTGTGTGTGTGTGTGTTTTGTTTAAATTTGGTTAATCGATGCACTGTAATTGTGAATACCCAATCTGCAATCAGAATGCTTGCCTTTGAAACCATAGACCTATGGCTCATCATCAGTGGAGCCTCACATAACTCCAGTTCTCTCATTCATACAATTAGGGGGAATAGTAATTTCCACTTCACAAGATTAATGGGGATATTAAATGGTAAACTTATATATGGGAACCCAGTGCAGTGCCTGGCACATACTCAATACTTCATAATTGATAATAATTATTTTCAAGATCGAATGCTTGTGTTCAAAATGCCTAAATGATAAATACGCACGAAATAAATCTAGGACTGAGAACTTGCATGACAAAGAAGCACACACATGGTTTTATAGTCTGCACACTCATCCACTAGTAGGCTATATAAATAAAACAGATTGGACTAAAATAAATGGGAAGTAATTGGGAACACGGGTTGTGCTCAACATCAATCCCAGTGGCAAACTCTCCTTAAGACCATGGAAGAAACTTTAAAAGAAAACAGGGAAAACCAAGAGGCCTTTGAATGTGTAGTAATTGAACGAAAGTTGGGTTATTTCTTTGGAGTTATCTTGTTCCAAAGTGGAGTTTTCTATATGAGTAATCAGTAACCCTTGACAGCAATTGTGTCTTGACTCTCACTGTGGGAATATAATAAAAGCTGGTTATCTATTGTTTGCCAGGGTTAAACACTATCTTATGATTGTTCTGGCTTTCGTCAAGATCTCTGCTCTGGATTTTGTGAAAGAAGGAATTGGAGCGGAAAGAACTGGGTCAATAGATCAAATATAAGTAGCTGTGAAAGACAAAAGAAATAAGGACTGCATTGTGAACTGGGCGTGGCTGTGCACACCCTGTAACACCAACACTCGGAGGCTGAGGACGAAAGATCACTGAGTTTGAAGTCAGCCAACCCGGCCTGAATAGAGAGGCCTGGTCTCAAACCACCATCAAAAACTCCATTGTGAGTTTCTGAATCCTTCTTCAGAATAATAAAGCGATGCACCAAAATCATCTCAGAGGCTGGTATGTGTCATATAGGATAGGGTAGGGCAAATAGCAATGACTTCTTTTAAATTTGCTTAGTGTGTCTGTGTATCACAGAACACATATGGGAGTCAGAGGACAACAGGCAGGAGCTGGGTCTCTCCTTCCACCACGCGAGCTCTGAGGACTAAGCTCTGGTTTTGAGTCTTGGCAGTAGGTGTCTTTACCCACCGAACACTCTCTTTGGCCCTCAGTGACAACTATGGAATATATATAGATATAAAACTATAAATGATTTTGAAGGCATTTGTTCTGAAGAAATGATAGATGCTGGAGGAGACGTGTGTTTTTTAAAAAATTCAGGTATAAAAAATGCATTCATACATTAGGATTTGCACGATAGCCCATTAATAATTGCAGGTTTTATATTTTCATGTATCACTTTAAAAATTTAAAAGGCTATGACTACATGTGTTAGCACAACGTAAAAGTGAAGTCTAGCTCTAAAATTATTTTGGGTTAATTAGATAACAAAAACACCAAGTGATATTTTCTCAATACCCTCTACCTGCTGTAATCACTTTTAGAGGCATTTTAAAACTCAACTCTCCCAATAATCGTATGAAATAGTTCCCTTTTTTTTTTTTTTTTTTTTTTTTTTTTTTGGATGGCATCGTAGAACGTTGTACAAGTCGATGATCTTTCAGTAATGTACAATGGTCAATAAAAGACCCAGAGCTTGGGCACGAGTCTACTGAGGAAAAAAAAAGGTTGATATTCTCGGAGCTGTCAAAGAGATTGGGTCAGTACGAAATGAAGAAGCAACCCTTTAGATGGCATGCACAGTATAGTTGACAAGTCTCTTTAAAAACATCAACCAGATACTCTATTACCACCCAAGAGGCAGACAGTCTTATACCTATCCCAAAGACAAGGAGGCCAAGGGAAGAATTGCTCTCGATGGCTCATCAAGATGGACCAACGGCCAGCACAGAAACAAATGCTCAAGCTCTCAGCATTGGGCCAGTGCAGGGTCAGGAGGAAGCCTGAGAAGCAAAGGGGTAGGGCTCATAAACACCGGCTTTGTTCCTAAGAAAGCCTGGCTTCACTTTGTGCCATATTCTTAACCCGCTTCCTAGAGACAGAAGTCAGGAGTAAGACACAGATGCAATGGATTAAGAGGACAAGGCCAGAACTTTAGAAGACAGAGGTAGAGGAATAAACCCCAACCTCTGCCTACCTCCCCAAACCTCTCTACCTGCTACCTCGATGGGCACTCCTTACATCTGTGTGAGGAGGTACAATTTCATTATATTTTCCTTCCACTCAGGCAGATAGGCTAGGCTGGTTGCCAATTCCTTCTGGATGGGCCAGGCCCAGGCTTCAAAGAATGGAGCCAGATTCTTCTGCACTTGCTGGGAGAACATCTTCGCCCACATATTCATTTTGTCAACGTTGTCTGTGGGCAAGTTGGTCTGGTTTCTGTACTCGGTGAAGAGGCGAATAAATGGTTCCCAGCCAAAGGCTTCTTGGAGCTAGAAAGGGAAAGTTGAAAGTAGGTGAGAGACACCCAATCTACAAAATAAGGCTCAACACGCACCGGTGAACTTAGTCAGTTCAACCTGCAAAACTTTAGCTTTGCATCCATCGCCGGCCGTTTCCGTGTGCTGGCCTCATGCCCTACTCTCTCTCTTACTAATCCTAAGAGAATATGGAGGCTAGCAGCACAGTGCTCGGCAGACCCTCAGTGAGTGACAGTTACAGAGGCAGCTCCAACGATCAGTGTTTCACACCACTTGTCATTCATCTACCTCGTGAGATCAACGAGAAGAATAATGTGGTAAGAACAAAGGGTTTCAAAACCGGCTGGGGTGGAGCAATCCTCCTTGCCTTTCATAGCTGCAAGGTTACATTCCAATAGTATAGGAGTCCCTACAACCCTCATTCATACTCACCCTAGCTCAGAAGGCCACCGTTTTCAGAATGGCCTTTGGGGAAGAAAGTGAATCGGGTGGGTCTATAGGCAGTCTAGATGGTTATAACAAAGAATGAGCGCTAGTGTTAGAAGTTGTCATCTTCTGGGGCCATGGGGAAGAGCTCACGCTTGACAGAGTCACAGGGCTTGTTTAAAAGTAACCTTCCTCAGACTACTGGAACAAGCCCATGCTAGCCAGCCAGGGTCACAGGGCTTTGGAGTTGAGGTTCCCCTTAGTAGTTATCAGAGCCAACACGCCTTCACTTCGTGGATGAGCAAAGTAGCTCACACAGGGAGGGACCATCAGTGACCATGGTCAGTGACGGATCAGAACAGGTGGAAGCACCAGAATAAATCATGCCGGGCTTCCATCCAACATGATGTCATTCCCCAGAGTGATCCGGGCACTGGGGCTGGAAAGTAGGACGACACAGAAAGGCAAGGTGAATCATCTCCAGTCCCAAGGCAGAGAGGAGTCCTAGATTGCCTGCGTACAGTAGAGTCGGCGGCAAAGCTAAGCCATAGCAAGGAGGCAGTATACTCATCTAAGGAGAAATTGGGTCACAGCCCACCACAGAATGTGTGAGGAGGGTGGCTTGATAGCTATGAAGGAGGAAAGGTTGGCTTCAATCATCGGTATGCCTGACCTTAATGCCACAGAGAGTAGAGCGTATTGCTAGTACTCAACCAGATTTGAGATTTCTCGGTGCTGTGTTCTCTTTTCCTCTCGTTTATGGAGGTATGCTTGACATGGTTAAAGCAGTGCATGGCTGTCTACTTTGTAGGGAGGGGTCCTACAAAGTACTGCACAGAGAGGCATCACTACATGCTGTTATCCCTGGACTCTCTCGGGGTTGCGTGTGACTGAATGTGGCAGGCAGATGGAATGGTCACTGGCTTATCACCCACCCTGCAGGCTTTCCTGTACCTGTAAGTATGTTTCCAGCGCGGTCCAGGCATTCCAGTTCTTTATATTGGGCCCTTTGCTCAAGTAGATTCGGACTCTCTTTTCCCGGACAGGGGGCCACAGGGCAATGTTGGCCCGGCTTCGAGGTATGCCCAGGACCGTCTCATGCACATAAACACACCACAGGTTGCAGGTGGCTTCAGTGGTGTGCGGCGGGAATTCCCACTCCTGCCTCTGCTGGTTGCGACCCAGCTCATGCACAGGGCCCCATAGCCCCTTGGTCCTGATAATCTTCTCATTGATGAGCTCCTGCACTGACTCCAGATGGCACATAATGGGGTACCCGGCATGCATCCAGCCTGGGGATGCAGAAGAAAGAGGACAGGGTCAGCATCCCCCCACCTCATCATTAAACCCATCTCCGAACTGTTTCTTTGCCAAAACACACAGTGGCCCCCGGTACCTTCTAACACCCTTGCTGTCCCAAGAGGCATCCAAGCCCAGGCACCCCCAGATTTTCTTTGTGCTCATTCTGTAGTGACATGTTCACCCTCTCTTCTGACATGATCCCTGGGAGAGTATTGGGTGCTGAGGGCCATTCGTGCTGTTGCGTGAGTGTCCTGTTTTTATGAGGCGGGTATTGGTACCCATGTGAGACTATGTAATTATAACACTTCCTTAGAACCTCTGAAGATGCCTCTGCCCCATTCCTCAACGTGGGATTCCCTACACTGATACTGCGATCTATTCATGAAACGTAAAAATCGAGGACCTAGAAAAACTCCCACGGCCCTCCCGTGTTTGTCCCCGCCCCCTTAGTTTAGTTTCTTGGTTTATTTTCAAACAGTCCTTTGTTCAGATTCCTCCAGTGATATCAAAGCCCTGTACTGTATTCTCACTTCTTAAGATTCCCTGAGGGGCACCTAGCAAAGCCCAGGTGCCTTCTTTGATGACATTTCTTGACAAGCTAACCGAAGCTACTTGTTATATGGATGTAATTTCTCCCCTTTCCATTTAGACAGCAAAGGCTGTATCTACATGTCTTGCTAGCAAAAACATCTTTACTCTCTTTGCCTTCATGGCTGTGGGAAGGAGGAAAGTACTTGGGGAAGCGAGCGAGTGCCACTCAGAATACCCACCGACTGAGATCTGCACGTCCGCCACTATCCTCTGTGGCAGACGCAAAGGGAAGGTCTCCCCGCCCAGCCTTGCCACAGCCTGCATCACCTCGTCCCAGAGGCGGAGTAGTGGCTCCGGATTCTCCAGAGCGCGGAGGTTTGAAGTTGGCACAGTCAGGATGAGGTTGTCGGTGGCCAGCTCTCCCCACGGACCAGGATGTTCCTGCAGACGCCTCTTCCATTCTTCCTGAGATGTCTCCCCTATGATGAGAGGCAATAGACCTGGAACCACCTTTTCCCAGATCCTTCAAGTTAAGACATACATACATACAACTAGAACCTTGGGTAAGATCCCAAGGTGAAAGACAGCCACACCCCTTTTCTCCATCCTTGTTGGAAGGCTCTATGCTATGGTATGACTTTATTTTTTTTTTCTTGGCACCAAAGCAGAATTTAAAGAAACCCACCCCCTGCCTCTACCGGTCTACCCATCTCCTGTTTTAAGTAGCCCCAGAAACTTCTTCACGATCAGGGTCTCCCACTTCTCAGTGTGCACCCTGAAGTGCCGGCCGACTCACCTAGCTTGTAGTATGGAGCACGAACGGCACCCTTCACGGTGATGGACACAGAACCCAACTTGCTATTCTGAGGCACGATGATATAAAGGAGACCACCCCAGAGGCAGGTAATTGATTTCATGGGCTTGTCCAGGCAACACCGATTAATCACCAGGGGGCCTCGGAACAGCTTGCTGGCTCTGGTCAGGTCATCGGTATGGCAGCCGATTTGTATCTGGAGCAGAGAAATCTCTGTCACAGTCACACGGGAAAAAGTGTGGGTAGTAGAGGAGAGCGCAGGAGGTGAACTCAGGAAAGGGCATTAGGCTGTGGCCCCGTGTACCATTCATTGATGATGTCATGTATGACAGTCGTGAAATAATGCACTTTGTGAGTTCGTACGTCCTAAGTCATGAGATGGAAGGTAAATTAACATTCACCAACTGAATACCTACAGAATGTCAGGGGACCTTCCATTGAGACCTCTTAGTCCTCACTCTATGACATAAGTCATAAATTTTCTTCTTTTTTTATTTAAATTTGAAACAAGCTTGTTTTACATATCAGTCCCAGAGCCCCCTCCTCCTGTCCCCCACAAACCCCTTCCCATTCCCTTTCTGTTCCCCAGGGAAGGTGAGGCCTCCCATGGGGGAAATCTTCAAAGTCTGGCATATCATTTGGAGCAGGGATAAGTCATAAAAATATTTAAGAGCCGAGATTGCTATTCTGACGCAAGATGATTACAGAGTCCTTGAGCGCTGAAATGTATCACTTTGATATATTTTGTTATATAACAAAACACAATTTCCTCACCATTAAGAAGAGGCAAGTGTCTAAAAGCTGTCCCCAAACTGCCTATAGGGCATCATGCAGACCCTATACAATGCCAACTGGAGATTGCATCACGTAGTGAGATGGGGACAGTGGCCTTACCTTCAGATCAGCAGAGGCAGCATCTTCAGGCAAGGAGACTTCTATGATTTGCCTTCCAGGTATATAGAGTCCAGTGCTCATCCAACAGTATCGCGTGCCTGCCAGAGTACAGGAAGGGCAAACTTCATCCCTGCTCCATACAGCGCTGCACAGACCCCTCAAGAAGTAAGCCTCTCCCGGCTCCGACTCTTCCAAACACTGCCCAGTACCCAACCCCTCTCTTCCAGAAGAGGAAGACAGTGAGGAGCAGTGACGGCCCTCTGCAGGTGACTTCCCAGTACTACAGCAATGTCAGGTCCCGGTTTCGCTGATGCCCACAAGACTAAGTTCCACCCTTCTGCCATCCTACCTGGATTGGTGCAGTTGACATCCACCGTGATGGGGGACTCGGAAGGGCGCAGGTAGAGGCTGCTGTACATGTCTTCAATTTCTGGGACTAGCAGTGAGAGGTCACTTCCAGAGTGGGCCAGACCTGTGGCCAGGGAAAGCATGGCACCCCTACAACAGTCATTGATGACAGGGTTCTCTCGGGTTGCCACTGGGAGCCGATAACGGCTCAGCAGCTTCCTCAGGAGTCGGTGCACGGACATGTAAGCGGGGATCTCCTCTGCAGGGATCTGCAGGAAGGCTGCCCCGTCCGGTCCCAGCTTGGCTAGCCACCCCTTCTCCACATTCCCTCTCTTCCTGCCCATTATCACTTCGAACTCTGCCAGGGTGGAGCGGAAGTGATAGGTCCTTATTCCCGCTTTAGGGGTGCGGAAGGGGCCTGGGTTGAGGCTCTGGCTTGTGATGCTGATGCCGAAGGAGTTGAGGAGCAGGTTTCCTGGGAAGTGAGCCAGAGGGGACACGCCTGGATTCTTAAAGGCCCACCACCAGGCTTGGGCTCCAACGAACAACCCACCACCCTCTGCTACAAACTCCTGCAGCTCCTTAACCCCCACGTCACTTGTGGGTTCAAAGCAATAGACACTCGCATCGCTGGTTAGTTGGGGCTCAATGCTGGTGTCTATACCCCCTACTGCGAGCAGACCACTTAGTGTCCTCAGCTCTGTCTGCACCACAATCTTGCCTCTGCGGCCCCCGTCCAGCCAGCGGACAGCATTGAGCAGAAATGGGCCAAGTTTACCCACGGTGAATAATACTTTATGGCCAGTTACAACCACTCGGCCCCTGCCATAGCGGGCAGCCGCTATCACACAGCCATGGTAGGTATCTAGCCCCAAGGGGAAAGCCAGAGCCCCATGTACTAGTAGCTGGGATGGGAAACAGTCCGAGTTGGTGATGTCCAGCTCCGAGATGCCATGCAGAAGCTCGTCTCTGTCTTCTGAGAGGTCATCTTCACAACTGCAAAAGACGACACACACACTCCTGATTAGAAGGGACCACTCTGCACGTATGTAGCCCCTGAACGCTACCTTTGACACAAGGGCACTTGCTGTTCTTAGATGATGTAGAAGATTTGGGAGGACAGAGCGGTTGAGAATTTGTTGGAAAGGAGACACGAGGTCTCGCCACCGATTATGCTCATTTCCTGACCACCCTTTCTTTAAAGGAAATGGCGTAGAAATTCCTGCCGTGTTTACCCGACACTGTAACTTAAGACAGAACATCACAGACTTAGGTTTATGCTTATTCCACCCGGGTATTCCAGTATGCAAAGGATTAGGTGAAGAATCAAGCTTTTACTCTTATAGTGAGTCTCGTTTATACACCGCACACCAATAATTCGATAGAGGAAAAGTCTGTGGAAAGCAAAGTTAGTGGTCACCAGTTACTTCCTCAGAAGACGGAGTGGGAGGGCATCATTAGCCTCAACTCTCGTGAGACCCACAGTCCCTTAGTGGGAGGGAGTACCACATCCAGACCTCTACCTGCCTTCAGCTTGCCCAACAGAAGCGCTGCCTGCCTTGACGCTCTGCTTAGCACCACTGTTACCCATCACCACGAGATCCCCAGGCCACATAGAAACTCCAAAGGGAGATTGGAGTCCTTGAATTTGCACGCTTGCAATTCCAGAACTTTGAATCTGTCACTTCTGTTAGATACCAAGCTATGGCAATCACGTGTTAGGAAAAAACAAAGTAGGTGTCCGATAGACAATGGATTTTCGGTTCCCGCGCTGTACAGAACTAATTTACAGGGAAACTGGGACCTCGATGCCAACTGACCCTCTCCTTCCTTGGAGCCCCCACCATAAAGGTAACTAGCTCTTCTGGCTCTGATTTTACTTCTGTTCCACACACCATCCTGAGAAGGGATAGAAGCTACTAAATAAAATAAAGTCCTAACACCACCTGGTCTTGTTACAGGGCACAATCAGCAAACGGGGAGAGAGGGTATTTACATGGGACAAAATGTAGATGGAATCAGAAACCTATGGGAACAGAGGAATCTGGTACACACACGAGTAAGAGAAGATGGGAGGAGGGGAGGAGAGAACACCAGGATTATTCTTCGTTTGGGAAAATACATCACAGGAACCAGTCATGATCAGCCCAGAACTTGAGCGCACTACACAATGGACAAGATCCCTACACATCACACATAAGGATGGCCAACAGGTCTACGGAAGGGTGCTTACTGCCACCACTCAGCAAGAAAACGCCAATCAAATCCATCGTGAGGGACCGCTCGCCATCTACTATCAAACCGTCAAAAGATATCAAGTCTGATGGACATGGGAAGAAACGGGAATTCTTGCACACTGTTGGTGGGAATGTCAACTGCAGGAGCCATTATGGGAAATCGATTGGGGAGTCCTTGAAAAACTAAAATGGAACTACCGCATGACCTGTCCAACCCTCCGCTGGGTACGAACCCACAGCAAGTGAGACCAGTGCCTTCCAGAGACGCAGCATTTTCACAACAGCCAAGACGAAGGAGAAGATCTCAGCGTACCCAGGGATAAGAAGATAACTTGTTGTGTGAAGTTTTAAGGAGGACATTGACTTCATTTCTTCAGGGCGATATTTAGGAAAGAGATGGCTGAGATGCTGCTCATCTTTCCATTTTGTGGTCTTGGACATTGTCTCCCAATCTGCCTAATGCAAGGTTGCAAGCGTTTTGTTTGTTTGCTGCTGTTATTTCATTTTTTTTTTCTTTTCGTTTGTACTTGGGTCTAGGCCTGTTCTTGAGTATTTTACGAACTATGTTAAGGTTCATTTTTCCCATCAGCGCATCTAGTTGCTCCAGAACTCTTAGGTTGGAGACACTGCTTTTTCCTCTTTGAGTAAATGCCTCTGAGCTATGTAGTTTGCTTCAGTGGCCGACTTATCTACCCTTACACCAATCACACAGTGTTCCAATCACATCATTTACTTCACCACACAGGCACTGTATCATACATTCATCAAAACGCAGAATAATACAGGACAGTGAGATCATCAGTCTGTGGGAGGAGGGCGAGATGGCTCAGCGGATAACGGTATTCGATGCACAAGGCTAGAGACCTGAGTTCAATGCCTAAAGTCCATGTAAAGCACAAAGGACAGAAAAGGCTCTGTTGCCCTCTGAGCTCCACAAGTGTGCTGTGCACATGCCCCTTCATCTCCCACACCCCTCTCTCTCACACACAAACAACAACAACAACAACAAAACATTGTTAAAAGACAGTTTGGGAGGCCACATTCACAATTCTTTTATTGGAATATATTGTATAATTCTTAGATTTCATTAATCGCTATTGTTATACTCATAATGCACTTAATTTATAAATTAAACTTCAGTGTACTCAGACATGAATAGACAAGTCTGCTTCCCACTTTTTAATCTCTATGTCTTCTTCTTGTCCCACGGCCCTGGTGAGTGCTTTTAATACAATGATGGGTAGAAGATGGCACCAGGATTAGTCTAGTCTTGTTCTCATTTCTAAAGTAAAAAAGACTCACCATTTTCATCTTTAGTGATGTTTTTATAGCTGGGCACGAAGGCACACGCCTGCAATCCCAGAACTCAGGAAGTGGATGCAGTAATATTTCAAATTCAAGGCCAGATTTGTCTATAAAGTGAATTTAAGACCAGCCTGTACTATGTGAGACCCTTCCTTAAAAATCCTAACAAAACAAAATAAAATTAACAGAACAAAATGAATGCCTCTTTTCAGACCGAAGAAATTATTTTTTATATTGAGTCTTTTGACATTTTATCATGATCGACTGGGAAATCTTGTCAAAATTTTGTATACAACTATTGAATTATAAACTTTATTTTTTCCAGTTATCATGCTAAATTAACTTGGCTTCAGATTTTACTAAACCAGTCATTTATATGCAGGATAGCTGGATTTTGCTATGATATATTATTCTTTTTATGTATTAAACTATTTCACTTGTTAATATTTAATTAAGAATATTGTGCCAGGCTGTGGTGGCTCACGCCTTTAATCCCAGCACTAGGGAGGCAGAGGCAGGTGGATCTCTGAGTTTGAAGCCAGCCTGGTCTACAAGAGCAAGTTTCAGGACAACTAGGGCTGTTACACAGAGAAACCCTGCCTCAAAAAACCAAAAATGAAAAAAGAAAAAGAAGAAAAAGAACTTTTTGTCCATGGGATATTGCTCTGTAGGTTCTCTCCCCAAAGTGTCTTTCTCTAGTTTTATTATTTCGTGTGTGTGTGTGTGTGTGTGTGTGTATGCACGTGTGCACCAGAGGTTGATATTGGTTAGGTATCTTCCTCAATCAATCACTCTCTGCCTTATTTTCTAAGACAGGGTCTCTTGGTGGACTTGAGCTCACCAACTCAGCTGGACTGCCTGGCCAGCAAGCTCCAGGCACCCTTCTGGTCTCCTTCCTCAATGTTAAGATTATGGGTAGGATACCCTGGCATTTAAAATTTTTATTTTATTACTATTATTATTTTGGTGGACTCTTGGAGATCCAATTCAAGTCCTAATGCTAACTCAGAAAGCTGCTTATCCACTCAACTTTCTCTGCTTTTAATACAATAGAAATGCTGGCTAAAGTATAAATAAAAACTAAAAGAGTCTCTATTTGCTCTTCAAACGTTTGCTAAAACTCATCACCAAGTCTAGCAGGGATGAATGTTGTTTGTGCTCTTGTTGGTTTTAAATAAAATTTTCATTTCAATATTTTAAAATATGGATAAGTTGTATAGTACCGAGTTTCTTTGCTTCTTTGACTTAACTACTGGTAACACGTTAAACAGCCATAGTTTAGTTAGTAGAACTAAGCCCTTAACACAGGTCAAGAGCTAATCACTAAGCCTCAGCCTTTAACTAGACAGATGGAGAATGATCATTCTCAGCATTTGGGGTGCTGAGGAACACTAGTCTATGGCTGGTGTGAGTTTCACAATGAGCTCTGTCGATGAACAAAAATCTCTAACTTTTTTGTTATAACCACAACGACAACAACAATAAAGCTATTAGTACAATTATTGACAAAATCTCACTATGTAGTTTCTGTTGGCCTTTAACTCACCACGTAAACCAGGCTGGCCTGGAACTTGCTATGTAGAGATCTGGCTATATATCTGCCTCCTGAGTGCTGGGATTAAAAGCCTGTGTTACCATGCCTGGAAAACTGTATAATTTTTACTTGGTTCTCTGTCAATGTCTTCTAGAATTCTATCCAGGAAACTACCTTGTACATACATAGCGTTGGGGTGCTTTAATTACAATTCAATTTATTTTAGTATACATTGTCTCTTTTTTTATGTTTAGTTTCATAATTTGTGTCAATCAAGAGTTTTGCTCATTTCACCTGAATTGAAGGACTTGCTGGTATAGATTATGTCAATTCTCTTATTATCCTTTTATTAGTAATCCTCCTTCCATTCTGAAAATTTTTAACTCTCTCTTGTTGTCATGACCAGATTATCTAGTGGTTATCACTTTGCTGATTTTTTACAACAATTAGTGATTTCACTGGTTTAATCTATCCTACATATATTCACCAAAGTACTATCAACAATCTCTTAAGGATTTGCAGATCCTTCTTGTCTACACCTGCCCTGATATTTTCTAAGCCACCTGGGGGGACAAGCTAATGTTCGTTTTCAGCTTTCAGAATTTGGAAATCTCTTATAGTAATCTGAAAGTCAAAAGATTCATGTGTGGCCAATATCACTTCACTAATATTCAGGATGGAAGGGACACATATCACATCAACTCATGAGTTTGAACTCATTGCAGAAGCCCCGATTTGGGGTTAAAACGAGACAAGGTGATTTGTTTCAATAAATAGAGATGACACAGCTTGTCCAATTAATTTGTCACGTGCATTTATTAATTTAGGTTATTTATCATCCCTCTAAAGGCCTCACTGGATCTTTCTCACCCAACCCAACTCAGTTCGTTCCCATCAGTTAGAATAACAGCATACTTAGTTCTGGGAAAGCTAAGGATTCTTATTAATAATGGGAAGTGGCCTAGAGTGCATTTTCTGCTCTTGAGAAGACCACAGGTTCGGATACCCCTCATTCCTCAATCTAATTACACACCTAACGAATGTTTGCTGAATACTTATCAATACGTTGCATGTACAACTGTGTGCCTATAAAACAGACCACGATATACTCTCTGGAACCTTCAGTGAGGCTTGCCTTTGTACTAGCATTGTCTTCTCCATTCTTAAATGATCATTTGACCCCAGAGATAAAAATATCTCTTTAAAAGCCTAGCATTAGTATATATAACTATACCATCTCTTTTCAACTCAACTTCCAAACCCACAACTTCCTGTTTCCATCCTAACCCCATGTAAACATTTCCAAATGCTCTCACAGCCCTCCAGACTTTGGCCCTGTTGCTCTGTTTTTTTTTTTTTTTTTTTTTTTTTTTTTTTTTTTTTGTTTTTTTCTTTAATATTTTCCTTTTTGCTGTAAGGGAATCATGCCAATTCTTGAGGCCAATGGTATTTTTAATAAGCTAGGTGCTGAGCAATTATCAGACTCAATAGGAATTCTTCTCCTCAAAAAGCTGAATGGATTAGTCTGGGGAGGCAGTATCAAAACCAACCGGAGTCTCAGAGTATTAAAACAAAAATCTAATTGGCAAATACATGTCTGAGTTTCAAATTCTTTTCTGTTAGTCTGGAAGGAACCTGAAGATGGAATCTTGTCTGCTTTTTAATATGAGGCAGACTTTCCACCTTGGAAAAGATACTCACCTAACTAAGACAGGAATCTTAGGCATCTTCTTAGAGACTTTGTAGAAACCTGTATCTGCTTTGTTTTCAGTGAAGTACACACCAGCCACACTGGTCACCAGATTCCCAGGAAATGTGAACAGAACTCTCTCATCTTCACCCTGGTTAGCCCAATCCCAGGCTTGGCCTCCTATGAGCAAGCCGCCTCCGCGTTTCACGAACTGGACGAGCTTATCAGTCATGTTCTCATTGTAGGCATCAATACAGTAAACTCCCAGGGAGTCATTCACTTCGGGCTCAATAGTTGACTCTATTCCACAGCTCTCGAAGATTTTCACCAGTGGTGCTAGCGATGAGTGTATACCAATGGCGGACTCAGAAGAAGAACGAAGCCATCCCACAGCATTGACAAGAAAGACGAAGAGCTGGCTTTCCACCAAGTAGTCCTCATGAGCGACCACCACCATGCGACCCCTGCCATAGGAAGAGGCGGCAATGAGGACCTGACCCATGTCATTCACCATCACAGGAAATGAAGCCTCTCCAATAAGAAGCAGTTCACATGGCACAGCTTCCTCCGGGAGATCCCAGCTGGTCACTCCGGTCATAAGGGCCTCAAAGGCGGCAGAAGGAGTCGCCATGGCTCTGTTGGTTTTCTGCAGAGAGAAAGAGTGAAGACCCAGTTTAATGAAGAAAGGCGAAACATTAAATAACCAAGCGAGGCAGTTATTACACCAGCGATGGCAACTGCCTTACTGTGTGATAAGACAGACATTGAAATAACGTGAGTCTCGGTTATCCATGCATTTAGTCCACCCCCTTGGTCAAACTTAGAAGAGTGTAGAGTCTGTTCTACCGCAGAAGGAAAAACAAGGCAGAAAAGAGGCTGGCTGTAGAACTGTGTCTCCCGAAGACGGCAGTTTGAATTCCTACCCCTCTGTTATCTATGAATGTGACTTATTTTGGAAACAGGCTCTGGAGTTGCTATCATGTTAACAGGAGGTCATGCTGGATTTGGAAGCTGAGAGACTGAAACATAGAGTAGAATTCTATCAGAAGACAGAGGCAGAGAACGTTGAGATGTGTCAGAAGAACACTAGGGATTGCTGGCAAAATCCAGAAGCTATAAGAGACACATGGGACAAATTCTACCTCTAAAACTCTAGAAGGAATCAGGTCAAGCCTGGGCACTAAAATTCTAACCAACCCCTCTAGAACAGCGGTTCTCCACCTTCCTAATGCTGCAGCCCTTTAATAGAGTTCCTCGTGTTGTGGTATCACCCAATCATAAAATTATTTCACTGCCATTTCATAGCGGCAAACTGGCTACTGTTAGGAGCTGTCATGTAGGATGCAATCCCCGTGGAAGGGCCATTTGATCCCCAAAGGGGTCACGACCCACAGGGTAAGAAGCTCTTTGAGACTGGTGCAGCCTGCAGCCTGCTCTGCTCTCCCATTCGTCCATCCATCTCAGCCTCCGCGCTGCTCTTACTGACATCCGTCCGGCTGAACAGTCAAGGATCTCCAGCTTGAGTTAGTCACAAGCCGAAGAGGTGTAGCTGTGTATGTCAGCTCTCAAACACCCTTTGCATCTTCTCTGGGAGCGCCAACTCAATGTTCTTCTACAATCTTCCAGCAGCGTTCAGTCATGTGCATATACTATACAGGTGCACTTGTACTTGTTTGGTTAAGAGCAAATCACCCACTTCTGTCTGTGGATAACATGAGGTCTAAGCTGTTGTTGGGTTTGGCACCCAGCACCCTGAGCATTTATTGACTGTGACTGCACAGTTCTCATTCCTTTGCAGCTGACATCAAGACGAATGCTGACCCTGAGTAATAATGGCCGCAGCACACATTTTTATTACATATCTCTCTGGACCCCTGGGAAAGTCCTTGGCCCGTGAGCTTTAACTCCCACAGCCATAGATGGAAAGACCTCTGCTCCAATATCTATAAACTGAAAGAGTACAGGGACTCCGTTTAGCTTGTCACTAACTTAGAGAAGAACCAACTTTAGAGCTGTGGACGGTGGTACATTTCTGAAATCTCAGCACTTAGAGGTGGCGGCGTGTGGTGTGGTCTGTGTCAAGGGCAGTCTTGCCTATATGAGACTCTGCTGCTGGGGTCGGGGTGGGGAAACTTCCCTCACAGAAAAGAGCTTTTCTAAGTAAAATTACACGAGCTGGATGTTAAACACCAGCATTGGCTCTTTACCCACGTCAGAGAATATCTAAGGGATACAGCCAGCCAAGAGCTGGTAGTAGACATTTGTCCCTTACCCACCCTTCCTGGTGCACACAAATAACCAGGCCAGCAGCACGCTGTGCAGAGTGAGGCCGTGTCCACTCTCCCTATTTTACCCCGTTTCCACTTGGCCACAAGCCCTGTCAAAGTGTGTGCTGTCTGTTTGCCAGCACACTGCGATTAACCCAATTTGGTGCTTTAGTAACTCATGTCTGGACTGAAGGAATCTGGTTTCCAAATCTCCCGGGTCTGCCCCTACCTTTATTCTTCTGAAAGTACTCTAACGATATTTTGTCACGGAAGAGGAATCCACAGCGTTTTAGCTGCGTCCGCTGGAGAGACCCTGACTCCCTTCCCCAGCCTCCCCACTTTCCATAGGGTAGGGGGGAAGCTCCTGGAAGTTTACAGCTGATGCTCTTTCCCTTCAAGCTATTACCAGGACAGTCTTGAGTTCTCCCTCCCTCAAGCTTTCAAAGCAGGACAGACTCTTCTCCTCATCTCCTCCCTAAAACTATTGCCTTGGGCAGGCTCTGCTTCTATTTCCAACTCTCACTACCTTCCTGTCTTCTGGAACTCTACTTTTTTAAGTTAACATATACACAGAGGGGACAATTCCAGACATTTGCTATGGAAAAAAAAAATAATAATCAACTCCACAAGTCAGGCAATAGGAAATATGATCAAGGTTGTTAAATATGAACTAAGAGAAAGAAGAGACAGAATAGAGAATGTGGGAAAGATGAAGAATAACGTGAAGGCGATTAAGGGACCCATCCATACTCCCTTGTACTAAGAGTAGCAGGATTAAAGATATATGCCCATGGATGCTGAGTACCCCACACTACTACAAATGGACACCAGTAAGTGAAACCCGGGAGTAGACATAGACCAAAGACAAGGGAGTTTCCAAGGATCATTTTCATGTGTGTGGGTTCAGGATCTGAAACGCAATCACGCACTTCTGTTTCCACATATCTCCCTAGACATTCCATTGAACCCCAAATGAGATCCTGTTGTGCATCCCCTCAGACCCATTCCCTCAAGAGACACCCACCAACTCTTCTGTCTTGGCCAATGCTTTCCACAATGTGATAGTCATACATTCTGAGAAGAGAATTCATACTCATAATTCTATGTCATTCTATGTCTCATAGCTAGCTTGTGTGTACATGATCTAAATGTATATGATCTGTCTGGCATCTACTTGGAATGACCTAGTGAGGATTTCAAGCCCCTGTGTAAGTTTTGAACCCATTTTCTGTGGCTAAGACACGGGTAACAATATAGTAGCAACTGTAGTAATGGCAGTCATGGCAATGCACTCCTTATCAACTTTCTCATACTGTAACACATATCTTATTAAGTTTATTTAATTCTGACAAACTTACGAGGCATATGTTATCATTGCCCAGGGTCTGGGGAGAAAACCCTAAATCTGTTGAATAGTCAGGGAATTTGTCACTTGCTTAATATCACATAGGTGGGCAAGTGATGAATCCAGGCTCCCAATACAGGAAATGCAGAGCTGAAGTATAGCCCTTTAAAAAATATTTATCTATTTTATGTACATGTATATGTATGCTGGCTAGTTTTATGCCAACTTGACATAAACCAGAGTCATCTGAAAGGAGGGGACCCCAATTGAGAAAATACCTACATAAGATCCAGCTGTAGGATATTTCTTAACTAATGATAGAGGACAGCCTAGCTCATCGTGGGTGGTGCAGTCCCTGGCCTGGTGGTCTTGGGTTCTGTGAAAGAAAAAGATAGGATGAACAAGCCAGTAAGCTGCACCCCTCCATGGCCTCTATATTAGCTCTGGGTTCCAGCTCTGCTTGGGTTCCTGTCTTTCCTTCAGTGATAAGACTACAATGTGGAAGTGTAAGGCAAATAAACCTTGCCCTCCCTGAGTTGCCTTTGATCATGGCATTTCATCATAGCAATAGTAACCCTAACTAATGTGATATGTGTTTGAGTAGTATGAATGTTGACCTCATGCCTGCAGGAGCTAAGGAGATCAGAAGGAGTTGGAATCTCTGGAATTGCAGTTGCAGATGGTTTCAAGCCACTGTGTGTGTGTGTGTGTGTGTGTGTGTGTGTGTGTGTGTGTGTGTGTGCTGGGAATCAAACAAAGCTACTCTTCACCACTCAGCCATCTCTGTACCCAAGAGTACAGTTCCTAAACAGCAAGACTAAGTTAGCATTTGCTAAGTTCCCCAGGTTTTTCTTTTTACTCACAGGAGCTTCATGGAGGCCGCAGATAAACACAGAAGCCTTGCCACATTAGGGAGGCAAGAGGTGAAGAGTTTTCCTTCATACACATTCTCATCTTTTAAAGTGCTCCCCCGTAATCTCCTCTCCCCTGAGCTAACTATGGTCCCTTTGAACTTACTACAGCCTTCTTCAGAGCAAAAGGTATCCCAGGTACAACCTGTATAGCACGGAGAAAGCAGACCTTCCAATCCTACCACGAAGCAGTCCCACAGGCTCAAACGCAGGAGGGGAGGTGTGACCGGCCATCTTGGGAGAAAGAATCCCTTACAGCTTGCATTTCAGTTTGATTTCAGGTCTTCAAACACAGACTTAAGTATGTGAGATTAGAGAATGCATTTTATGATTTGCATTCTCCAGGTGGCTATTCCACGGATGCATGACTGGAAGATGGGTATGAAGGTAAAGGCGCAACTGGTGTACTCAGTAAATGCCTACCCTGGCCTTGTATTAATATCCAAAACACAGTTCTCCACGTCCTGTCCTTCCCATGCCCTTTTCTCTGAGACGTCTTTCTCTTTCCTTAAACATTGGGTATTTTCCCCACTGTCCGCCACGTTCTGCTAAACCAGAACGAAAACTGAAAAGGCAGTTCTCATCTCTCACACCCCATCCTAGACGGTTTTCACTACATCTTTATTTAATTCCAACTTAAGAAACCGTATCGTTCGCACGTCTCAAGGAACGTGTAATGCATACAGAAGGGCAGACAACAAAACGACAATAATACGACCGTTAAAAAGTTAAGCTTCCATATACTTGACAAGATTAACAGCACCAGCACCCCCAAATTAGTATTCCTGGATCCCTTCATCCCGTCCTCCGCAGGAGTTAAGATTAAAAACTTGGCTTTTATGGCCCCATATTCCTGTTTCACCACGCTGACTCCTGCATCCCGAGGCTCCCTCTAGCTCGCGACTGTTCACTTTGCCCACTGAGTAACTAAGAACAAGGTAATTGAGGGTTCTGGTCCAGGAGTTGAGAGACCCGCCCTTGGCCATTAGAAACCCAGGTGCTACCTCCTAGCCGTGGGTGGGCTTGCCCCGGAGGGATTCTGTCAAACACTCTGAGTGATGATAAAGATCTTTCCAAACCACCAAGGGCAGCACACAACTACGCAGGGGCCCAGCGACA